CAAGCGATCGCTCAAATCAGGCTGCATCAAATACCTCATTGTTGGCTTCTAATCTGTGGCCAATCAAAGGTTTTGCTGCCTCTGGGGCTGCTGTACAAATGCTGTGCTGCCTGAACAATGGCCACATCCCAAGGTTTTATGCCAATCTTGGCACAACTGGAACGTGCGCCACACATAAGTCTGTGAGCGCGCCACTGCGCGCATGCTACAAACCTCCTCTTGAGGCGAAAAAGGTAAACGAAGATGCCTGAAGGCCGGCAGTCTCCTGGCCACTTTGCCGCTTCTTCAAATGACGAAACAAACACCCCCATGACGCACGACACTGGACGTGAAGCCTTGAAACAAATTGACCAACCAGCATAGATACACAAAGTAGCGTCAAGAGTTGGTCGATAGTGGCGGGGCCCTCGGGGCGGTCCGGAACTTCTGTCCCAGCTTCGTGAAATTCCGTTAGGTGCATGCTGCAAGTCTTGCGTAGCAGAAGCTCTGTGGCTCCCCACATCTTTCAGCCAGCGTGCTCTTCAGGGCAGAGGGCGCACGCAAAAGCATCTTCTGCAAAAGCCCTTTCCGCTCAGAAGGCCCCAGTTTATCGCAAAACAGCGGCGTCTCATACTGGCCTGTAGTGATGGGCTCGATCTCAACCTCCCCCAAGATTTCGGGGCAGGGCCTCTTGCCCAGTCCGATGTCATTGCAAGCCTTGACCATGTCGAATGCGATAGATTCAGAAACCACAGAGTCAAACTTGTACTCCTTGTGCGAGCGCACAAAACCTCACATTGAGGATGTGCCAGGGGCAATAGCTGCAATAGACTGCTGAGGGCGCCACAGAATTCTACAACAATTGTTTGTCACACACACACACATCTTCTCTGATCTTCCAAGGGGCATCTCATCCACTTCGCCGGGGTCATCAACTCGCCGCTGGCCCTCCCACTGATCAGCTTCAAGTATTGGTCGAGGTGCTTAAAGCTGCTGTTGTCACATCGAATATGCTTCAAGTAGGCGTAGCACAAGGGGACCAGGCCAACAAATTCTTTGCTGCCGTTCCTGACCGAAAACTCACTGATTGCCTGAGACTCCAAAACAAAGGTACCACGGAGGAGCTTCGGCCTCCCTGGCCTCTCCTGAATCACAGCCTGGTTCTGGCTGAGGGCTAGCCGATGCTGAGAAGCGAAAGCAACTTGCAATCGGGCAAACGAGTAAATTCTCGGCAGTGCCAAAACGTTGCCAACACTTTGAGGCAAGTAGGTTTCTGACGCATGCTTTGAGGGCAATCATGCAAACACCTGTTTGTGTCCGGCAATGCCATTGTGTTCTGCCAGGAATGACGGAAAACGGCCTTTGGAGGTCTACAACAGGAGTTTCACCAACCAACTTCCCCCACCCGAATGAAGCTGTTTGACAACTGCAAAGGCTTTCTTCACGCCAAGTTGCATGATCTCATCCATAGTCATCTCGCACAATTCCCCCTGCTCGGCCTCTTGCCAGATCTGCCTCCTAAACCAGAAATTCTGGGTGCCCACCGCATCCGCCGCATGGGCGCGGCCCATGTTCTCGTCCACCTTGGACAAAGGAACCAGCAGGTTCAGGTTGAAGACCAAAATGGCCCGTGACACCAGCACCTGCCAAGCCAATTCCGACACTCCGAAACGCAAAGGTGCAACGAATTATGCAAAGTGGGGCACGGCCACACCAAACCAACTCCCAAACTTACTTATTCAGCAAACCAATAACTACCTGTCCTGGCAGCGGGAGGGCCACTGCTCCCTTGTCCCTGCAGTCAGAGGCTTTCGGTCAAGACGGCTCTCGTAATCAAGCAATATTTCTTGACGTGAAGCAACTCGCTTCTGTTCAAAACTGTAGCTACGGGGAGGCCACTTTCCAAATAAAACAATGGTATCAAACAAGCATTTTGCGCCTATGTGGCATCAAGCAGGGCTTCTGCCTGGATGCCTGGATGTGTCCGGGACGTTGGAACCACACAATCATCAATTTGGTTTCCTTTCTTGGATGATCCCCCACACTGCGCTCCCAAAGGCAGGCTGATTTATCCAGTGGGGTCCCCACAATATTTCTAAAGGACGTCCGAGTGGCCAATCTATTTGAAACATGGCCTGCTCTTCACCAGGCGAGGGACAACATTGCCAGATCCCAGCATGCCCAGGAACCCTAAAAGCCCGTGCAGCTTGAGGGCAACTATAGGAAACTTATAGGAAACTGGATGCCCCACAATGGTCCTTGTAAATGTGATCTTCAACGAGTGCCCCAAAATGTTCCACCCTTCCCCTCCCAAACCCCGCCATGAAGGCAGTAAAGGCGGCGTTCTCGAAGTCCGTCAGCTGCACCTGCCAGAGGCAGCTGATGAACTGAGTGCTTCAAACTGCTTTTGCTCTGAGCTTCAGTTGAAAAAGGAGTATATAAGGGAGAAAGCAAACAACGCGCCACTAAGCAACGAACGAACTAGGAAACATGGCTGAACAAAAGCAGGATTGCTCTTGCCTATGCCTGCTAAAAGCTTGTCATGACCAAAGGATTGACCCCATCAAAGCCTTCACTCTGGTCACAGCATGGTGGATTGAAGGGCCATAACTGGGCTCAAGCCACAATATTGTTTGAACATGCATGAACAACACACCACTTCCCCTCGACGTGAAGCAACACCTGCTCTGCTGAACAAAGACAAGCAGCACCTATGGTTGACACACTGTTAGCAGGATGGGTTATTCCGGAGTTTCGAGGTTCCAAACCACCCTGCCAAGAGCCGCAAAGTGCCCACCAAGCCCAGGCCCTTGAAAGCCAAAGTTCACAAGTCCAGAGTGCCCACCAAGTTGTCCTTTGAACATTGCCACCCTTGGTTCACTCCCTGCGCCTGCCTCCATGGAACGGAACTCTGTGCGCCACCCCACGTGCGGCGCGCCCGTGCCGCAGGCACTGGTGGCGGGGGGTGGCTTCCAGCGCACGGTCTGCCAATTGGTGGACCTGGCGCACTGAGAGCTGCACTCAACTGGCAAGAAATTCGACTGGATCGAAAAACAACCCCTGGGTTTTGGCCCTCCCGTAGAAATGATCCGGTGGATTGTTGGTTCAACTAATCCACCTGCTCCGCGTGGTCATAAGTCGCCAGAATCGCATGGGTGCCAAAGGGGAATCCCCTAGATGGTTGCTGCCACTTCTGTTTGGATGGTATTCTTGAAGGGCGGATGGAAACTGTGATATGGGCAGGACGCCTGACTCTGGGAGCAAATGTGCAGTGGAAGTAGGTCCGGCTTGCTTGCAATCTGGAAGGGCTGCGCTGTCTAAGAGTGAGAACTCTCCCCAAAGCAGGCTTGCCGTGTCCGCGAAGGCTATAAGGCTGACACCGAGACAGAGCACATTTGGCACCCTTGAAAAGCGGACCGTAAAGTATCTCCAAATTTACGCTTCGCACAGCATCTCATTCATGGCTAGGAGGTCTGTTCCCGGGCGTGACTGATCCAACAGCAAGCTGCACCAGCACACAGAATATTCCAGCCCAACACCACATTCATTCGCTCGAGAGGCTGAATGCTTTCGAAGTGATCCGTGGATGCGAAGTCATCCACCTCCTCGACATGGCCAGCAAAGGCAGCCTGGGCTGCAGCTCTACTTCGAGCGTGTGTTTCAGGGTTCCATGGACGGCTGTCATTCTGCTACACCCGGACTTGTTGCGACCCACAACCACAACCTCTGCAAATCAAAATGCCAAAGGCGTCTCCAATGGCGACGCACCAGCCAGGCGGCCAAGGGATCGCGGGTGAACAAGTGGGACACATGCTGCGCCAAGGCTTCGTCAACGCCCTCCTGCTGCAAAAGGGCAAAGGTGTCCTCGTCTGTCTCGCACGGAAGGTCATTGAAAGCACGGGAGCCAGGATGGATGAAGCAAGAAATGGAGTCATAGCGACTCTTGCTCTGCCTGCAGAGTAGTGGCATCAAACCAATCAGACAAACACAAATTCTGGCGCGCATATAATGTGAACAGCAAGATCCCGCACCTCATTCCAAACAACCAGAAGAAAAACAATTCATGGCAAGCTGCTTGCGAATGCCTGCCCCAGCCATGCGGGCATCGGCTATGCCAGCCTCGCCCCTCTCTGCGGGGGTGCGATCATCCACTGATTGGCTGATGAGGCTCCAGCGAGCATCAGTGGCTGCAAGACGGCCCTTGACAATCGGGGTTGCCTCAGGCTGGACATGCCAGGGCTGCGAGCACAAGCACTTACAACGCATCTTGATTTGCCATCCATCATGTCACCTTACTTTGAGCATCCCTCAGAATGCAGAAACCTCCGATTCCATGGTAAAACAGCCATGAGTGCCAACGGGGGGGTGCAGCGCACTGGCACATGGCCTCAGCCAAGTTGCGGCCGTCAGGGCCAGCATAATCGGCGCAAGAACCGCCAGCTGGTCGTACAACAGCCGGGATTCATCCAGGTCGCTAGCTTGAAAAGTGACTTGAAGGCAGCAGCAACCCATGCCGAAGGCCATGCAATCCATGTGGATCATGGGCTCCGTGGCAGTCTCAAACTCTGTCGTCTTGCTGTCCTTGCAGAATTCTGAAACTTCAATCTTTCGGATCGAGAAATGTTGGTTTCTGCTTTCGCATCCTTCACCCTCGATTTGTTTTCTACTTGGGGCATCGCCAGTCCACTTTCTTGCGAACGATAGTTTTGATAAGCACATGGAGGAGCATCATCTCAGCTTCACGTTTATGGGAACGCACTCAAGGCAAGCAAGCCCAGCACTCAAAACCGCTCATGTTCTGCTGCTTTGCCTTTGCAGTCCCACTGGTTGGTGTTGTCCGGATTGTGAGGGCAGCCTTCCAACAAAATCGCTTAACCTTGTCGACCGTGAGCGGTTCTTGCCACAGGAGCAACCTGAGAAACTGGACGGCCACCACCCCAGCTAAGATCCCCATGCTTCAGCGACTTCCACGTTTCACTAGCCAGCCCCCGGCCTTGAACAAGGGAACGCGGATGTCCACCTTGCTGCCGCGCCTGCTGGGGTTTGGAATGAAACACTTCCGATGATCAGAGGTTGCATCATTCCTGCAAGCCTGGCGGCTATGATTTTCGGACGGGGCGTAACTACTCAAAGTCAGTGTGAAATATGTCTCCGTGGGGCCAGCTCATGGCCCAGCTGCTTGGCCCAGGGATCCCGGGCCTTTTGCGGATGTTGGCCGTCAGAGTGGCGAACCGGGGGTGGGGGTTGATGCAGCTGTCCGGCACCAGAGCCGAGTCCGAGGCGGGCGAGGCGCCGATCGAACTGCCCGTGAAGCCGACGCCCAGCCTCGATGGGAAAGCGGAAAACCATCAGAAAAAAGGGTTGTCCTTGGGACCATGTCCACTGGGCGAAATCGGGGCCAAGGGGAGCTAGTGAACTCCTTGGGAAGGAGGCCTGGAGACATGCGGGCGGAACAGAATTGTTGGATTGGGATCCTTGCAGCAGCAATTGAAGATCCGGCACATCCCTTTTTGAAGGCTCATCCATTTGGCTCAGTTTTCTTCAACGGCTGAGACCGCGTTTTGTGTCGGAAGGACCTCTCACGAACCCTGACCCGGGCAAGGAGCAAAGGAAACGCCACCAGCGTCGGAGCCATCTCATCTTCGTTCAGGACGGACAAAATCCTCCCGCGACGTAGCCGCATATTCTGCTCAATGCCCAGAAGTCCCATCACCTAAGGCTGTCCCAAGCCGCATGATGGAAACACTTGAGACATCTCACATTCAGGTTGAAGCAGCTGCCCGCCCCAACACCCCCCTGGCCAAAAACAAAGATAGAAACAAAATACGACAAATGTGTAGGAGCTGCCAGTCGCCAGCAACACAAAGATAGTGGCAAACGGTCAGAAGTCAGAAGCCCACACTCAAAATGCAATGGCTGTTTCTGGCGCGCTGCATAACCACCATATGGAACCCGCGGGGTGCCTTCCAGCATCCAGCTTCCATACTCCTCATGCCATGCGCAGCCTTGAAGCTCCTCCTGCTCCTCAGGGTAAGGACATCCTACGCCTGATGGAACATCGAACATGTTCACATCAGTTAATTGAACAAAGTATGATCCAGTTGTCCAATCAACCCAGACTTCGTAGAGATAAACCTAGGCTTCCCCTATATACCCCAAGCTGACGCTCGGACAAATGCTTTCCTTTTAGAGTTTACCACCTGGTCGTTCAGTTCCGTGGTTTTTTGGCAGACACAGGGCAACCATTCCCAACAACAACCCACACCCACAGACAATCATGGAATGGCTGCATTAACAGATCCAGATTGTCGAATCAACAACTGCTATCCACACACCCACAAATAACACACCGTCCCATTGGATTTTGGTTGGTGGGTTAGCCCCCCAAGACATTCCAATCTCCTGGCGCCGCAGCGCCTCCATGGCTTCGGGCCCTCGGAGGCTCAGGCGCACCGTCTTCCTAACGCCGAGTGAGCGTCCCCGCCCCTCCTCCCGCCCAAGCCAGAAAACGCCCCGTTCTGGGTCGCTGTTTTGGCCGGGGACATCTTGAAAACGGGCAGCCTTCATCTATTCCTATGTGTTGTAACATACTGACCCTTCGCATATCGAAGAAATGCTCCGAGAACCAAAAAAGAAAAAGGACATCATCAGGTCTGGCTTCCGAATGGGATCCACTTTCAATAAGCCATACTCGACCTCATCTCCGTAGAGGAACGGATCGTTCTCCAAATGCTGCATGCGCCGGAGCGTGTGGAGGAACTGCAGAACTCCGTGCTTACGGATGTACCTGCTGTGGTGCAGCATGTCCTCCCAGGCCAAGGGAGTTCCCACTGTGAGCAGCCCCATGGCACCTGTGGCGCACCTGTCTACCTGGTGGAAGCCCTAGCCGATCCAGCGTAGTGGCTGCGGAACCATTCCATCTCTCAGGATCTTGGAACAAGACCACCTGCTGCACCGAACAAGTCAGCATGGCCGGCTCACATGCTGCACGTTGAAGCCAGGGTGAGCTTCAATGCACCCTTGGCCCCCTTTAACCTTGGCTCTTATCAATTACAGCGGGGCCCAGGGGCCCAAAATGGGTGGCTTTAGACTGGCTTATGTTTGAGCACGGACGACTGCCCACCCGTCAAATCTTGTTTTCCGCTCGCGGCGCCGCTTCTTCCGGGGCGCCTCCACGCCTGACCCGGAACCAACAGGAAACGAAGTTGAAAACGGAGAGACCAAGGGGAACAACAGGAAACTGAAGAGAACACTTGAAAAAAACAAGGATGTTTCAAAGGAACCAAAGTCACAGTACTTGCGCCTTGTCCTGGGATGGGTAGGAGCCATCCAACTATTCCCCACCAGGTTCATCATTGCTAAAGCGAACGTGCAGCATGCGGGCACAATGCCCAGCAACATACACCAGCTATAAGGGGTCGCAAGTAGTTGCAAAGAATCACCTCCATGGTCAAATTCAACGGCGTAGGTGCTTCCCTCAGAACTCACTCGGCTTGCATTGCAAATGCCATGCATCCAAATTTGTTGGCATGAAAACTCCGCAGATCAACATCCTTGCGAACAACGCAGAGCTTCAGCAAATGGACTAAAGCAGCTGGAAATGGCATGATGATGTCGCACACTTCACTTGGTGCAAGACGTGCGCTTGTCATCCACAGTGCACACAACATGTCGAGCAATAGTGTTGACATGCAAACAGCTTCAACTACATTGCAAACAGTTCCGTGCAGTTGAGCAAGTTCTCTCCCGCTAGAAATGCGAGGATGTCGTCACTCTCTCATTGACAAGGACCAGTACCAAATCCGCGGCACCATTGCATCAATGATCGGGATCCGTTGCCCAAGCCCCACTCGCCTTGAAGCTCTTGAGCCCGATCGAGGACTCTTTGCAGCGCTAGGGTCTGGCGCCTGAGAACTCCAACGGGCCAGTGAGTGCCTCACTGATGGCAAAGTGCAAAGACACCCCATTGGCTATCATGCCCAAGCCCTCCCTTGATGCCAATGGTTGCCACACTACCCCAACTTGCACCTTGACGCGAATCTTTCATATTTGCAAGGAACAACTGCGAGGCACTCGATGCATGTGTCTTGTTGTCCCGTCCTGCAGAGGGTAGTGCTCATGGCACGCACAGAAGCGAGAAACTCAGGCGCTGCCTCGATCAAGGTCCTCGGCGACGACAGCTCCGCAAAAACCATGCCACACTCTGGTTGTCGGGGGCTGGTTCACGACTTACGCAACCGGAAGCCCCACACATGCAGCACGCATACTGAATATACCAATGGGCGTCTGGATATGAGCCTATTCGCACTTCACAACAACATCTGCATGTAGCTCGTTTTGCTTTGGGAACGACAATTTGCCTTTGCAAAGGTTCGTCGCCCTGAGACGCGTCACTGCGCTGGACGGCGCTAGGCCTCCCTGCGGGGGCACCACCCACAGAGGGCCGTCTTGCTGCCAGCACGGCCTGGTGGGCAAGCAGTGCATCATGCAAAGGTGGTGTTCCAGCATTCCCCTGCAATGACGCAAAGGAGCACGTTAAAAACATTGTGTTGAATGAGCTAGGCCCGAAGTCCATCACTGAAGCCTGCTTAGCCAACAACAAGCATGTGCCCGCCCAGTCTTGATCTCTCTTCCAGGTGCGTCATCCTGCTTCGGCTGCAATTCTTCCACACCCCAAGCAGCACGGGCCAATTTTCGAAGACCCCGCGTCAGCGTCCACTGAGCCCCGGCTGGGTCCGTCAGAATCCTGGCTGCCAGCTATAACCAGGCTTCCCTGCTTCTCACCTCCTTCGGTGCTGAGTCTGAATTCGGTACTTAAAACATCTTAAAACGGCAATCTAAATAAGCTTGCTCCATTTTGCATCCCGCGATTCGTGACTTTGCCGATTGCCCCTCATGCGCACGTTGGGAAATCATCGAGTAGCAAGGCTGGCCCAGAGCGTGGCTGGCTGCAGGATGGCACAAAACAGTCGTTAAAAGGCTCGTCTCCCAGGCCAGCAGGATTTGAACTTCTGATCCCACCATGCGACCTATCCGCAAAAGTGCGTTTTACAAAAATGAAGTGCTGTAACGTCCCTTGCCAAGTATCAATTTGGAAATCTCTCCGCATCTATCCGCAGGCCTTTCATTGCTGTCTGCCCCGGGCAAAAGGCGCCCATTTGACAGCAATCTCTGAGCCAAGCAGGCAGCGCAGCACTCAAATGCCTCTAAACAAATGTTCAGGCAGCTGGGCATTCATTGCACTTGAGCGCCAGCGAGGGCTGCTGAAATGGAGCAAAGGCCGGCAAACAGCCCGAATGGCAAGCATGCGTTGGATTGCGTTGGCAATCATATGAACTAAAGTTACTAAAGCATGCTGATGCAAACACAGCGCAGAGTCCATTGTGCATACGCCGCATACGCATCCGCAGCGAATGGCCAAACGCAACAAGGCAATCCTCGTGATGCGCGTGAATGGTTTGCCGTGCTCTGCTCCATCCGGCTGCCAGAGAGCGCTGAGCCCTCCGTCCAGCCAGGTGAAAAAACAAAAGCACATTGGCAACAATGGCTGATGTCAGCCAAACGCCCGTGACAGGCAGAATCACGACAGCCTGCACCCAGTTCAAGGAATTATAGATGGCTGGCCTTGTGTGATTGGCCTCTATTCCTTGACATTTGCCCGGGTCATCTTGGAACTGGATGGCGCCACCTTGACCACAGGCTCACTGCGGTAGCAGTTCCTCAGCAACCAGCCGCATCGCTGGATGCAAAGGTGTGCCAGACTTCTGTGAGGCACTTGCACACAAGTGGCTGTGGGTCAAAACCCTGTACTGGTGGACATCAAAAAAGGGCGGCAAATGGATGTTCATTCACCCCAAAATGGAGCCATACCTTATGCCCCATGGCCAAGTGAGTCGTTTCCGGTCCCTCTTTTCGTCCGGGAGTGCCCTGTCCGTGCCGGGACTCTATGAGGAAGGGATCTGTCTCGGAGTCCCTCAGCGCCACCGAGAGATCATCCAGCTCCAAGCTGCTCAACGACAGGTGGGGATCCTCGAGACCGGTGTCGGAAAGGCTCCAAAGCGGGGCTGGCCAAGTGTTAAGCGGATTGAACCATGTGTTGATTCCCAAAAGTACCCGCTAAGGCGCAAAATCACGAGTGGCAAAGGCGGATTTCAGCAGCTTCTTCCGAACCAACCACATGGTTTATCTGATGCATGTGGTGATGCCATGATACAAACCGAAAGTTGCGCGGCCAGCCTTGCTGATGAGACCATCCTCCTCCTCCAGCATCCTCAGCGCAAGCTGGATTTTACAAAGCACACGCATGAAATAATAAACACACAAGCACAGCACACACATAAATAATGCATGATTTGTACATATTCAAAATGAACACGTCACTAAGCATAAATGCATGTCTTTTGAGGGAGGAGTGGGGGGGGGGCGGGTGGCCTGCCTGGACGTACTGCGAACCTTTGAAGCCGTGGCACAAACTAAACAAGCAGGAAAAGGTCGCAGAACCGTCGGTCGAGAAAAAAAAGAAGAAGGAAAAAGTCAACATTTGCAACCACGCGCTATGTTTGTCTGACTCACAAAACCTTTCTCGAAGTTCGGCGGCACCGGCTATCCAGCCCTGCGCCCCTTCCCGAAACTGTCTGAGCTATTTCCTGTTTGTGTGTGTGCACGTGAGATCCACGTACAGGCGCCTCTGATCCAACCAGCAAAACAATTAAGAAAACAACAACAACAAAACAACCAAAACAATGAAACAACAACACCGATGATTCTAGTAGGATTTCCTCAGATCACTGAAGGCAATCTTGAGGTGATATGACCTCCGCGTCCCCGAAACTCACAAAGCACAGTGGTTTGTCACTCTCTTATGGGGCAACTGAGGTCGCAGCATGTAGTTTCTGGTGAGCAAAGTGCAAGCCACCAAGCGGTCCATCAAATCCAACGCCTCGCCCACAGCTTTGGATGCAACCGAGCATCTGAACCAAACAGGTGCGCAGTCCGTCGCCTCATGCCAATACTGAAGCATGCCATGCGGTCAACCCAGTACCAACACAGAAGCGATGCCCACGGAAGCCTCATCTGCACAGCGGATGGACCTGTACTGGTCTGGCAGCTCCTGGGCTACTCTGTTGTTTTGCAGCTGATTCTGCTGAGTGGCACTGTCTCAATCACTCGTGGATAAGGGCAAGCCTTTTGAGCCCACCCCTGAGAAACATGGCCCCGTAAGTGGTTCCACCCATCCGAGAGCTTGTCTTGTGGTAGCCAACCCTGTCGTGGACAGGATGGAGAAGCTACAGTGAAGAGGACATTCTTACCAGTGGAGATGTGACAGGGCAACAGCCTCAGTTTGCACATGCTCGAGGTGGACCAGTACCTGCCGGTACACACGCGCAAAGTATAAACCCTTCTGATAAGGATCGAAGGAAAAGACGCAAGTGGTGCCGCAGAATACACAGTTGGTGCTTGCTAAGTTGCTTGAGATTGCTTGGCTTCAATGTGGGCCCTTTGAAGGCCGAAACGACGTGACTGCCCGGTTGCGATCTCCAAGTGGCACTTATGTCCTCAAGCTTCCCAACATGTCCACTTTGTTCACTCTTCTTAGCTCAGACATGACAGCCGCACTTCACTAGGCATGTGCCTCGTTGGTTTTTATTTGTTTCGCAGCAGCTCGCGCTGCTCGCTATTGACGTTCAGTGGAAACGGCCGGGCAGATTGCGAGCGCCCAATGCTTGCCCTTTCAATGGGGGAATGACACTAGTCAGGAAATTCCAGTAGCGCACACCTTCACTCCGGCTTCGTGCTCAAGGACCATGGGATTTCTTGCCTGGTTCCTTCCAAGCGGCCACCTAGCCACGGATATGAAGTTTTCGTTCCCCGGAATGGCCCGCGAAACTTGGCTCTTGGGGGAAGGAAATACAGTTTGTTTTTGTTTGACGCCCAAGTATTCCGAGGTGGCCGAATTCTAACACAATACTAAAGCACGAGTTCCAAACCAGAACTAATCGGAACTTACTGAGAGACTATTTGAGCAGCCCCAAACTATCCTGCAGGTTGACATGGAACCCACAAAACCATCAGTTTTCAAAGTAATCTGCCTTCAGAGGAGGCCTGTAACCCGCAGTTTCCTTCTGCTTCCCCCCCCCCCCGCCGGCACTCACTCTCGCCTTTGCTGCGCGCCGGCGGGCTGCTGTCAGCTTGGCGTAGCGCAGCGACACCTGCCTGCCAGCTGGTGGCTGCGCGGCTTAGAGCCGTGTGGCCCACGACCCCGAAGTGGGGATGACTTTGGAAGCTGGCGCTTTTCTTTTTTTTGCAGTTGCTTTGAGTGACGTCTTTGGGGATGACAGTTGGGATGCCGCTGGCAAAGGCGCCCTCATGCGGATGCCCAAAGCGAGCCGTCAGGGAAAGAATGAGTATTCCATAAGAGGGGCATTGCTTGTTTTCCAGTACCTTGCTCGCAGCAACCCCGTCCAAAAGTAGTTCTACTGCTCAATTGCAAAACACAGGTTGTAATCTGGCAGTGCTGTCTGCATGCAATTCGCTTGCTGCAGGAAAGTTTTTCTTGCTTGCAGCCCAGCTACCTTGCTCGCACCTGCTCAGCTTGGCGGTCCCCTGTTGCAGCGACAGCGATTTGGAAATGCACACCTGCCTGCCTGCCTGCCTGCCGGCCCGCCACCCACTTGTCACCCCTCCACCAACAACTTGAGAAGAACAACTCGCCCGCAAATGCGTATTGCTGCAAGAACGTGCTTCACAGCCACAAGGTACGCGCCCCGGGTTCAACAGCTGCTCTGGCAGTGACCAAGTTGATCTTCTTTCTGGACGGCCCAAGAAAGCTTGTCACAGGCCCAGCGGCTCATTTCCAGTAGCAGCGACAGCAAAAAGAGCCGAGGCTTGACACCTTAGTAGCTCCCTGCGGCGAGCCCGCTTGATTGGCATGGGTCAGCCTTGCTAACAAAACGATTGAAGGACTCACCCTCATTCAAATCAATTTCCTTCCCCGTGGGCCATCTGAATCTGTGAAGCTCCGACTCGCGGCTCCTGGCCTTGCTGCTTGTGGGCTTCAAGGCAACCCCGGCTCTTGACTTTGACACTCCCAGCCCAAAGAAACAATGCAACATGCTAAACCAACACAACAACACAACAAAGCAACAATTCGCCTCGGCCCCAAAGGGGCCAAGGGCGCTCAGATCTCTTCTCCAAAGAGAATCTTCGCTTTTCCCCTCCCCCAACCCCCTCAACCAAAATCCAGCTCCATGGGTCCATTTTTGTCGAAAATGTGCTGAAAAGCGCCCAGCCCAACCAGCAACCCGCCTGCTGGCCAGGCCTGTCAGCCCAGCCCACCCAGCCTTTGTCTGAAACAGGCCTAGCCCAACCAGCAACCCGCCCAAGCACGGCCCCAAGTCATCCAGCAAGCCCAGCCCAGCCTGCCCAGCCCAGGCCCCAGCGCATCTCAGGGCATGCCAGCCACTAGGCCGGCCCCCAGCTCCCAGCCTACCAGCAGGCTCAGCCCAGCGTGCCAAGGTCAGGTTTGTCTAACGTGTCTGAGACTGGCCTCAGGCCAACGACCAGTCTATAGTTCAGCTCAACCAGCCAAGCTGCCCAAGACTGGCTTCAGGCCCAGCGCAGGCTTATCTGATGTGTCTGAGACTAGCCTGTGGCCCAGCCCAACCAGGCGAGGCCGGCTTGTCTGACTTGTCTGGAGCCAGCTTCAGGCCCAGCCCAACCAGCAACCCGCGCGAGCAAGCCATAGCCCAGCCCACCCCAGACTGATGAGCGGAAGTCTGGACCCTGTGTTTTTTTTTCGATTTCCGGGGTTATCTACTGTCAGGGTCTTGAAAGGATCTTGCTGGGTCTTAAGTGAAGCCCGACATCCTTGTCCACTCGACCCAGCTTTTTTTTGATTTCCGGGGTTATCTTCTGTCAGGTTCTTGAGAAGATCTTCGTGGGTCTTAAGTGACGACTTGACTGACTGCCCATTTGTCTGGCCCCTGCAACTGTCCCGACAGTGACGGCGGCGCCCTGCTTTTTAGACAACGGGTTTGAGTCTGTGGCACGGGTCAACTCGAAGGGCGGTTTCTTGAGCGTGGGCCTTCCTTCGAAATCCTTGAGTCCGGCAGCTACTAGGTCATCCAAGCCGAAACTCAATAACACACTGAACACCTGACCTGGTCTAACATAAACGGCTGCCCAAACACAGCTTGCTTGTTTGCAACCCTGCTCGACTTCCGCCGCCCTTCTTCGGCGTGTCGGACACCTAGAGAGAGAGAGACAGAGAGAGAGAGAGAGAGAGAGAGAGAGAGAGAGAGAGAGAGACACAAAAAAAAGAAGCTCCCCAACCCCCTCCCCGACCAAAATTTTGCCGGCCCGCCCCCCACTGAACACCTGACCTGGTCTAACATAAACGGCTGCCCAAACACAGCTTGCTTGTTTGCAACCCTGCTCGACTTCCGCCGCCCTTCTTCGGCGTGTCGGACACCTAGAGAGAGAGAGAGAGAGAGAGAGAGAGAGAGAGAGAGAGAGAGAGAGAGAGAGAGAGAGAGAGAGAGAGAGAGAGAGAGAGAGAGAGAGAGAGAGAGAGAGAGAGAGAGAGAGAGAGAGAGAGAGAGAGAGAGAGAGAGAGAGAGAGAGAGAGAGAGAGAGAGAGAGAGAGAGAGAGAGAGGACACCAGACAGAGAGACAGAGAGACAGAAAGACCCAGAGACAGAGAGACAGAGCGACACCCACCTTTTTGCTTCTTGCTGCGCTTGCTTCCTACCCCAGCAGCTCCTCGGCCCGGGCTTCGTGCCTGGCCGTGGGGACGCTATGGGCAGCTGCAAAAATGTGAGCACAAATCTGGCTCTGCTCCTATGCCTGGCGAGCCAGCTCCTGGCAGTACGCGTCGTCGAACACCAGCACCTTCTTCTCTCCGTCATCATCCAGCGTCATTTGCACGCTGAAGAGCGCCATAACCGATCCGTCCACCAAGGCTTCCGCGTTGTCTCCCACGGCGCACACCTGTGCTCCCATGCCAACACAGTCGATCAAGACGGCCGTGCGCATGGGGTTCCCATTCTGGCTCTGACGCAGCGCCGACACCTCCCGAAGGTGGCCGCGCAGGCAGCCGACCCCCGACTCCGACCAATCCACGTTGGAGAATTGGTCCGCGAACAGAGACAGGTCGAGTTGCAAGTTGAGCGCGCTTGGGGGCTGCACCTTCGCCTCGCTCGCCTTCATCGAGTGCAGCTGCCGCAGACTCGTCTTCGCCGCTAGTCGCGGCTCCGCCACGCGAAAGTGATCCAGCGCCACGCGCGGGTATGCATCCGCGTCCTGAGCCTGCGCGGCCGCCCACGCGCTGCCTAGTGTCTGTTGCTTTCTCCCGCCATAGCACCAAGGTGACGAACCCTGTGGCATCTGCTGCTATGCAACTGTAGACAGGGATCGGCCGCCCGTGCACAGGCACGTTGCGGACTGCCGCGTCCGCCCACAGCAGCCACAGGTCTGCCATCTGCACGACTGTGCCTGTCGCGACGCGATGCAGCTCTGACACCGTTGGCACGCTGGTGCGCTCCGCCTCTTGGGCGACAGGCTCCGTTGCTGTCGCGCGCTTACGCTTGCTCGGCGACATCTTCGGCCCCACGACGGCATCGCTCGACTCCATGTCCCGCGCTTTTTGGAGCTCCACTTCGCCGACCTGCCTACTTTCTTTTGAGCCAAAGGCGCACGCCCCGGGAAATACAACCACTCGCATGCATGCGTACACCAACCTTAAGCACCTACCTCAGCACCATGCGACCTCTCCTCGCTATATCATCCTAGCCCTGCAGTATGCAGTGCGCTGGGTGTCCTTCAAGAGTTTTGGCGCTTGGCGTCGTGCCTCCCTCTTGCTACGCACTCTCCTCACAAGCTCATCCCAGCGCTGCAGTCTGCGGCGCGCTCGGTGTACTTGAAACCTCTTGGCGCTTGGCGTTGCGACTCCCACATTTGCGCGCAGTCGCCGACCCACCTCTTTTGCTTCTTGCTGCGCTTTCTTCCTACTCCAGCAACTCCTCGGCTCGGGCTACCCATAAAGCGTGCCTGGCCGCGGGGACGCTATGGGCAGCTGCAAAAATGTGAGCACAAATCTGGCTCTGCTCCTACGCCTGGCGAGCCAGCTCCTGGCAGTACGCGTCGTCGAACACCAGCACCTTCTTCTCTCCGTCATCATCCAGCGTCATTTGCGCGCTGAACAGCGCCATACCCGATTCCTTCACCAAGGCTTCCGCGTTGTCTCCCACGGCGCACACCTTGGCCCCCCACGCCGACACAGTCGATCAAGACGGCCGTGCGCATGGGATTCCCACTCAGGCTCTGGCGCGGCGCCGACACCTCCCGAATGTGGCCGCCCGACTCCGACCAATCCAAGTTGGAAAATTGGTCCGCGAACAGGAACAGGTCGAGCTGCAAGTTGAGCGCGCGTCGGGGGCTGCACCTCCTTCACCTCGCTCGTCTTCATCGAGCGCGGCTGCCGCAGACTCGTCTTCGCCGCCAATCGCGGCTCCGCCGCGCGAAAGTGGTCCTGCGCCACGCGCGGGTACGCCTCCACGTCGCTGGCTCACCGGGCCCTGCGGCCTTTCTGGAGGGCCAGCCACGCGGATTCTTCCCGCGACATGACGTCACAGCCGGGGTACGGCCTTTCCCCGTAAGTCCGTGGAGACATTACGCAATGCTCTGCGTGTGCAGCTTTCCCACAGCTGCAGCCTCGCCTTTTAGACTTCTGCATTAAGTCTCGCAGACATCTCAGCTTTTGCTGCATTGTCGCCGCGCATTCTGCGCATGTGTACCGTCCTTGCGCCACCAGACTCCCTTGCTGCGCGTGAGAAAGAAAACGCCAGCCTTGCGCACGCCCGCACCGTTCCCCGCACGGTATGGAGGCCGGGCGCTCCGGCGTCAGCCCACGTTCGTAGCACTTCGCGCAGACGCGTGCACGCTTGCGCTCGCCCGCGCTCCGATCCCGCGTTGCAGCCAAGTCTTCTCCTTCTTCTGCGCACACGTCGCATCGCCACGCGCCCACGTCCGCTGCCTTCCGCCGCCTTTTCGTCGGCTGCAACGTAGCCCCGCCTTGCTCAGCACCCTTGGTTCTGCATCCGTCGCACCGGAGCCACGCCCCGTCGCGCATCAACTCTGCATCTGCCCGCCCGCCAAACGCATCTTTGGGCTTCCGACATTCATTTCGACCTGCGAGCAAGCACGCTGCGCACGTGTGCTGGGAATGATCTTGCCGCCTCGGTAGACGCATCTCTGCGCGCTGCCAAGCTGCTCGCACTTGTTCTTGCGACCAGTTCGCCGCAAATTTCTCGACCAGCAGACGTGGTCCTGCGGGCGCCCCCTGCTGAAACAAAGAGCGTGAAAACGGCCGCAAAATAACCAAGTGCTCCAATTTTCTGGCCCGCGAGAGCATTACATATGCCGCCAGATGCTCTGCCTCCGACGGTGTCCTCGAGGACGGCGGCGCTAGGTCGCAAAACAGAGCCTCCAACGATTGCCCCTGCATCATGTGCGCCGTGCCCGCGAAGTCGGGAATCATGAAGAAGCTGCGGCGGCCACCTTGGCGCCACTCTTCTGGTGCAGAGTCCAAGTCCGAGTGGCCGGCGTCATTGGATACACGCCCAGTCCCAGGTCTGGCGATATTTGCCACGTTGCGCCGGGGAACCAGACGTACACGCAGCGCGGAAGTTCGCTCGCAATGAGACCTTCCGACGTACTGTGGAATTCGGTCTTCGGGAGCCAGTGCCAGTCCACTACCCGCCCACGGCGTCCTCTAAACAGCTTCAGTTTCCGGTTGATGGTCTCTGTCAAGCGAATCGGCATGCCGCGCGCCAATGCAACCGCGCTGCTCAAGTGGCTGGTTTTCTGGTCGTGCATTCGCAGCCAGCCCAAGCG